AGAAGATAATGACACATTTCAGCTATCACCCCCCTAGACTGAAAGATTAAAAAGACTGCCCAAATTTTAGGGGAAATGAAGGTGTGTGGGCTCACTCTGCACTTGCAGTTTTCAGCCCTCGTCGTCTAGAAGGTTCTCCGTGAGTACGGATGCCACGTGGGTATCCGGCGAGTGGGAGGGGAGTCACCCTACACTTTTGCCCATGTATTTGCAGAACTCTTTTGGAAAGGGTATTTCTAGACCACTCTGCCCGAAATGCAGCAAAATCCATCCGGCATTACTCACAAAGCACCCACGGGAGATCTTGCACGGAACCGTCGCCGTGTTAACCCACCCGGCTAGTATTTAGATAGTGAATGCGGTGGAGGGGCAGGGAGGAGTATGTCGCGCGTGAAAAACTCGGGGTGGGAAAGCAAGCGCAGAACTCAGTCCCGGAGGAACAGAGGAACGCATTCGCGTCTCCCTCGCTGGAGGCAGGACACAGAGCCAGGTGGCGGGCGTCGCGACCAGCAATCGCGACAGTCGGTCTGAGCTCAGTATCGGGCGGAACCGGACCACAACCCAAAGAAATAAGCTTTTTCCGGAGCAAAGAGCTGCTCCCGATTTCAAAAAAAAAAACACCCCGAAACACAACTCTTCGGGGGTGGAAGACGGCGGGGGCGGGGAGAGGGGCCCGGAGGAGGGTGGCACGGCCGCTCGGGGCAGCGAGCGCGGCGACACGGCCCGCGGCGCCCACCGCGACGAGCCGGACACGCCGCCGCCGCCCCGCCCGCCGGCCCCCTCCCCCGCCGCTTCCTCTCGCTCTCCCAGCCCCTTCCCCCACGTGCGGATGACGTCAAAATTCCGCGAAAAAGCCGCGTGGTGGCTCCGAGCGGAGGCGCGAGTCCGCGCCCGGCCGCCCCTCCCGGAGGCAGGGCCCCCGACGCCGCCGGCCGGACGCCCCCCGCCCCAAATCTCACTGGAAAATTCACTTCGCTAAAGCACACGCATTTCCAGAGCTATTTTCGGCGCTGCGAGGCGTGTCCTGAGCGGAATCAGACAGGAAGAGGGGAAATTCGGCCTTTTTCTTTCCTTTTCCCCGGAGGGAGGGGAGTCAGATGCTCGGCGGGGCGACGGACGGCGGGCGCTGCAGCCCGAGCCCGACGCAGCTGCCGCCCGAGTGCAGCTCGGCCACGCCGGGGCGCGCCGACGGGGCAGGCGGCGTGGACGCCCCGGGCCGGCTCTGCCCCGCGAGCGCGGCGACCGGGGGGTCCCGGCGGCGGGTTCGCACCTGCAGGCGTCCTGCGCGCGCCGGAGCCTCGAGTCGCCGCCCGCACCCACCCTCCGCCCCGCGCTCTCCAGCTCGCGACTTCCCCTCTCCTCCTCCTCCTCTCGCACTTCTCCGCTGTCCCTTCGCTCCCGCCCCGTCCTCTTTCCCGCCTCCTCGGACTTCGCCGTCTACTTCAGGTGGCTGTCGGATTTTCGGTTTTGGTGGACCGGCCCCCCCTCTATGGAGAAACACAAACACGGCTCTACTCTTTGGGGAGCTGGGGGGAAGGCGAGGCCCCCATTCTTGAGCCGGAACTCAGCCCCCTTCCCCGCCACCAGGCCCGGGCGCAGGCGGCGGCGGGACTTGAACCGGCGCGGCCGACGGCAGGATCACCTGGCTGGCCGGCAGCCGCCAGGTGAGCTTGGAGTTATGTGTGCTTAGCGTTGCAGGTCGCTGCAGAAATGTGCCCATAAACGCCCAGCACTCGGCTGCACCCTACACCTACAGGGTATTGTACACTTTCCAACCGAAACTCCAAAACGCGAGGAGTAGGGGGTGGGGAGCCAGCCCAAGAGGGAATAAAAGCCCAATAAAACCTGCGTTCGCTGAAGTTTATCGCCCATCTTACAAAGGACAGGATATATTTTTTCCTTGAGTGAAAAGGGATAAGGAAGAACTGACATTTGTTTTCTTCCACGGTGGCCAGTTTTGACTTCCAAGCCAGGCGCTTGCGCTTTTTCTCTAAACCCAAGTCTACACTCAAAGAAAATGCGCACGTTTGGGCCAGAAGGCAACGTGCCTTTTCCCGCGGAATGCTCTTTAGCGAGAAATTAAGGCTTTAACACATGGTTGGAGTGGCGACCCAAAGGGAAAACTGAGTTTCCAGCCCAAGCCTCCGGAGACACGCCTGCCATCCGCGCGCTCTCGCGCCCCACCCCACGTGCCGGAGCCCGAAGGACGACCCGGCACGGATGCGCCGCGCGGTGCGCGTTCGGGACCAGTCCGTGATCGGAAGGGGAAGTGAAGGGGGAACTCAAAGAGGCGAGCTCGCCCCGCGGGAAGCGCCCGACCTTGCGGGTCCCCTAGGATGAAGAGCGCCGCCGCCGGGAAGGGTGGGGGGCGGTACGGGCCCGCGACCCTCTCAGCCCCTCCCCTCCCCCGGCCTCCTCGACTCACTCCCCCCGCCGGCCCCCTCCCC